AATAAAAATGAAATGTAAAAATTTGACATATGTTATATTTTGTAATAAAATTTTCAATAAGTATAGAATATGCTAAATTTAGCATTAAGAATAACAAATACCTGGATATTGATTTTCCTACTAAAAACAAAAAAGAAAAAAAAAAGAAAAGGGGGAGGGAAAGCAAAAAAAAAAAAGGTTATGATAATAGAGTAAACACTCATAAACAGGAAAAAAAATGTTGATGATAATGGTTGTGTTTGGAGTTGTTTTTATTTTTCACACTTTTTTGAGAAAAAAAAAATGAAAACGGGAGAGAAACGGCATTTGGCACAATTAAAGAAAAAAACGGAAATGAAAATGATTTTTTAGTTTAGTGTAAAATAAGAGATAAATGAAAAACGACTTTCAGTTTTTTTTTCATTTTTTGTTTCCGTTTTCTCCTCTCTCGAGCAGAGAAAGAGACATTAATAGATTTTTTTATACTGAAAATAATTTTTTGATAAAACTATCAAATATAATTTTAAAAATAATTTCTCTTTAAGATTAAAAACGTTTTCATTTTTATTTTCATATAAAAAATAAAATCATTCAAAGAGAGTTCTAATCGCACCCAATAAATCCCAACATTGGAACCCACTCTTAAAGAGTTCCACTGTTGTCTCTGACAGCAATGGGATCCACTCTTATAGAGTCCAACAACTATGTATTGGATGTTAAGGAGTACCTCAAAATCGACCCCGCAATAGCACTACTCTTTCATTAAACTATAACAAATGAATAAAAACTAAAACAAAAACAGAGGTAAAAAAGGAATAAAGAAAGTGGACCCAAAAGGAAAAAGAAATTATAAGATGAACCATTTTGTACATTAGCTGCTGAGGCTCTAAGTTTACATAACTAATTTGAACTACACACGCGAAGATCTTGTTCATTTCACCGATTTAAGTTTTGTTACAATAAAAAACTCTTAAAAAGAGTCATATCTAATTTTTTTTATTATAATAAAAAGCTCACATATAAAATTAAATCTCAATTTAAATTAAAAATTTAAATCAATGAACTAAATAGGGCCGAAGTAAAAATGAATTTTATTTGAATTATCTATACTATCAATTTTGTTTATTTGACCATCAAAATAGAAACGGATTTAAATAATAAAAGATAAAATCTTACAATTGATATCTATTATATATACCGAGTCTTGACGCTTTAGACTTCGTTTACTTCGTGGATTTGAGTTTTTAATTTGAGTTGAGATATGACATTTTTTATAACTTTTCATTGTAGTAAAAAAAGTTAAATGTGACATTTTCTGAGAGCTTTTTACTGTAGAAACATAAAACTGAAAACTCAAATCGGTAAAATGAACGAGACCTTAGCTTTTACCCGTACGTTATGTCTACTTTTTGTTCTTTTTTATATGAAAAAGAATATAGGAATGGAAGTAAAACGATTAAAAAAACCATAAATAAATAAATAGAATTTTAGAAGCAAGTGGCAAGTACAAATAGAACCTTTTTTTACCTTTTTTTTTTTTTTTTTTTTGCGCTAAAGCTGCAATTAGGGAAGATATAAGAAGCAAGGAGGTGCATTAAAAATACGAGTTGTGATGATACGTTGCCAAAGAAATACGTTTTTAAAGACGTGATGAATGAGTAAAAAAGAACAGGGGCAAAAAGGTGAAAAAGAAAAAATTTAACAATACATAAAAAAATTATAAAAAAAAATTTTCTATCACGGCTCCTCCACTTATTTCTTGTTTTTTTTCTTTTTTCGTTTTATTTATTTATGATTCTTTTACATTTTAATTTTTTTGTGTATTTTTTAAAAATAGATTGTTCCTTTACTCTTAGAAGAGTAACTTTTTTGTACATGTGTTCTTATTTATTTTTAATTGTTTAAAATAATTTTTTTTAAATATTTCTCTGCCTAATTTTTTGTCAATTACTATCTTTATACATATTTTTTTTAAAATAAATATAAAAATTCTTAAATAGTTATATAAATAAATTTTTTACTATTCAATAAATAATAAACTATTTAATTGTTTCTAGCACGCAAAGCATGATACAAAACTAATACTAAGAAAAGGGGTTAAAAGTGGCTCTAATAGCTTTCAATCAAACGGTGGCCCAAATTCCTAATCCTAAATTAAAGAGAAAATGCTAAGAACAAGTGAGTAAAAAAAGAGAAAGACAAATGGGCAATTGGCAAAATAGGGGAAAAAAAAAAAAGATCAACACAATATTAGAGTTTATGCCCTTAGAATAAATGTATAAATGCCTTTATGACATTTAGATATCAATAAAGTTTATTTTTTTTCATATATCTATGTATTGTCCTTTTATTATTGATGTTTGTTGAATATATGATTGGAAGTCTGAGATTGTCGTTCTAAGTATTTAGATCATGTATGTAATATGAAGAACATGCATTAGACATGAATCTATATATGATAGCTTAAATATATGATCCGCAATCGATGAAATAAAATTGGGTGCTTTATTCATGTTAAAATGTTATGTTGTCTACTTCTTAACGTAGACGGCTTGTCTTGGTCATCGAAGTGAGACTCCAAAGGTAGAGACATTAATATAATTTCTAGTGGTGGAATCTATATTAAATCGGACAAAAATTGAATTATTTTAATAAATAATTTCAATTGAATAAAACAATTCACTTTTGACAAATTATATGTGGTCATCTTAATTTTGAGATGAATAATAAATTTGTATACTTAAGTTGTATCTTTTGATATACTAAAAGGTGACATCCTAACATTATGTAAAGATACGCATATCAGTACGTTGGATATATGACTCTTGTGTGCGTAGATTTATTATTCATAGATAGAGAATCCATAACTCCTATAAATAGTTAATGATATCCTCTTATAGCATTATCCGTAGATTGAAAAATACAAGCACTTGACCATTAGACTATTTTGTGTTATCTAATAGTTTACTATTTTATTGGTACTAATAGTGAATTTTCCGATAGAGTGATAGTGGAGCATTAGATAAATATAATCGAAAAGGTAAGAAGGAAATTGATCTCAAATCGATTATAGATATCCCATGAGGATGATATGTTGGGAATGATGCCATAAAAATAAGAGATGTAATATGACATTTATTATTTATTTAATAAAAGAGTTTATCCATTATTTTATGTGCATATATTATTGAATATTTTATGAATATCATTGGAAATTCTATAATTATTTATGCGACATTAAATATTGTATGTAAATGTTATATGTGATGTGAGAGGATAATATTGAAGTATAATAATCAAAATAATATTATTAATAAATTTAATTAAAGTTCAAAATATTTAATTAAAACATTACTAATACATGTCATTCTCATTTAGAATGGAATGATGTTATCTGCATTGTTAATATGGTGAGATATTGAATGAGTGTATTAAGCATAAGGAGATTGTATGGAACCGGGACATAGACATATGAATTTCTAATAGTTTCTGTTAAGTAAGTCTACCGATGGTCATATATAGAATGATCTTAATCTTGAGTTATTAGCGGACTCTTATTTATGGATTTGTGTCTTTTGATTTACTCGGTACGGATTCTGAGATGCTGAATCATATTCCTTATATCTTGGAGACATGATGAAATGGGTAGCTGAGAATGTTAATATACAAGATGGAATCGATTCCTTCTTGAGAAATAAGTAGATAAATAATTCTCTCGATGGTTGATTCGGTACTTAGATTAGTAGGAGCTCTGATTCATGAATTTATTTTATTTATCACTATCCATTAGAGAATCAATGGTACTAAAAAATAAAGATATAATTAGAGAGGTTAACGGATTTCACCTAGCTATAATTATGAATTATTTATGGATGATTGATCTATATGTAATGATTATATCAAATGGACACATCACAATTTAGAAGTAAATTATATCTATAATTGTGAGAGTGTAATTCTTAATTTATAGTGAAGTAACTTTAAAATTAATTAAATTAATTAATTAACTAAAGAGTTTTAATTAATCATTAAGTCACCACATGATGCGAGTGTTTGAGAATATATTTACTTTATTGACTAAATAGTAGATGCGATGCACTTGAATTGTTTTGTCATTTATGTATAAGATGATGTACCCCACACAAAAATCTTTCCTGACATAATTCAACCTTTTTCGCTTATCATTTTTCTTACGGACATCATTATTTTCATCATAGGAATTGACAAGAGAATTACCCCCCACAATGATCCAACTAAGTCTTTACAATTAGGTTGTCCATTTTAACATAAACCTTAAGATCTCCAGTTAACTAGGTTAGGTTTTCACTCTATCGATATATTCTTTCATAGGCTTTAGTCTTATTTCCATTGATGAGTCGTAGGAGATTAGTTATATACTCATATCGTATCTACGACGTATGTGTCTAAACTTTCCATTATACATGTTGCTCTGTGCTCTACTAATCGCATATTGACTATAACAGTGTACGTAGACTTCTGGTACAAGCTCTGACCACTTCAGAATATCCTCTAAGAATTGGCATAGCCATTCAACGTCTTCTCCATATATATCCAAAGCTGTAAACTCATATTCCATTGTAGATCTTGCTATAAAGGTCTGTTTAGAGGGTTTCCACGATACAGCTGCACCTCCAAATGTGAACACACATCTAGTAGTAAACTTTAGGTCTTTTATATCAAATATTCAATTCACATCACTGTATCCTTCAAATGAAACTGGATATCTTGTATAATACAGCCCATAACTAACAAGTGTACCAAAGGTACCTGCAACTATCCCATGTTCAAAAAGCGATCTAAAATCCCTTTCCCGGTCAGACTTCTAAAAATATCAAGATTGCCTTCACCAATCTACATCTAATTGCATAAGTTCGAATCACAATTCCCAGTATGAAAATTTAGATTGGTATTTTTTGCTGAATAAATTTAGATTCGTATTTAGAAGATAAATAATGAGTGATTCTGATTTCCAAAAAATAAAAATCTGAATCCAATTCCTAGTTCAGATTGCTAATTGTGGTTCAAACCCGCAAAAAAAACAGGCTTAAATATCATCACTTCCTGTGTTCAAAATTAATAAAAGGATACAAAATCTGTAATGCATAGGGTACGGCAAGATTTTGTAGATTACTCTCTCCTAACTTGGTAGCACTCATCTGAGCAAACATTAGAGAAATTATGCATAATAAACCATGAAAGAACGAATTAAATGCATATGAATGAACTTGATGAAAAGCGCAGACGCACACGCACATGCACACATGCGCGCGCACAATCTTAAGCACAGAGCAATATCCAGATTTTGAAACTAGATGCAATCAATCCCCTCTTCATGGCTTATTGTAGCATATCTTATCAAGGATCATCAAAATCTTCTGTATCTTCCCTTTTTCCCCACACCCTCAAACATAGAGGAAGTTCCCCACCATGTGAAGTGCAATACAATTCAGAGCCCCAAAAAGACAGAGAAGACGGGCCAAAAAAGAGCCAAGCTCAAACCGAGCCAATTTTCAAGGCATTGTAAATGAATCCTCACATCCCCAGGGATCTGGAAGTAGAATAGCTTCATTAGTTCGATTATACAACAGAAATTATAAGGAAAAGGAAATAATTAATATCGCAGCATTTTGGACCATAGCAATCCAAATCCAACCTTGTTACCAATAACCATCTTTCAGATCCCGCAGCTTATATAGGAAGCTATTGCCTCTTAAGTGCATTCATTTTGTCCCTGAGATAATAGAGCTTGGCTCTCCGGACTTTCTTTTTGTCCAGCACCTTTATCTCCTTAATATTAGGCGAATACCTATCACACATACGGTCATTTGTAAAGACAACGGCATTAACTTCGAAACAAAATAAATGAGAACATTTAACCACGCATATGGCATTACCTACTTGAAATAACCAAAGATTAGCGTGTAAGGGTTAAATTCAAAGTCAACAAAGTCTGGACCACTTAAAAAACTTTTCATTCACAGGATGAGGTAAAATTATAATTCTTCTTTCAAACGTACTGGTCCTTTAATAAACAAGACTAAGAACAAGCACAGCACATGTAAAGACCTATGGTTCTATATAACACGATCAAGTTTTTGTTGAACAGGGAAATAACCACACTGTGTAAAGAAAAAAACAGCAATTCATAACTCTAAATATCTAGCCAGACCAAAAAAAAAAACAAAAAACAAAAAGCCCTAATCAGCTAATTTTGTCAACAGTAAGAAGGCTTGTGGTATAACATCATTTTACTACTCTAAGAAAATTTACTTGAGTAGAATTTAACGAATGTTGCAAAAGGAATCAGGACAAATTTCTGCAGAAGAACTGCACATTCTGTTCAACACTTGTACAATCAAGGTTGGCAATTATCGGCCTATCAGTTTACTAAGTTTAGTATCATTGACTCCAGCTATGTGGAATTGGATTAGTATTTCTGTAATATGCACATACTGCTAATGCTAAATCCTGAATGCATGCTTCGTTTCCAAGTTGAGACACAATTCGAATTACAGGAAACTTAAAAAGGCCATAAATAACTTTTAGAAACAATAAATACAAATACTAGCATACTTACAGCGGAAAGAGGGATTCAACCCCAACACCAGCCACCAGCCTCCTTATTCTAAATGTAGTATTTAAACCAGCATTTCTCCTTGCTATGACAATTCCTTTCATAATTGAAACACGTCTTTTGTTCTCAGGTACTTCCTGTTCATGTGTGAAAAACTATTTTTTAAAAGATAACTACTTAAACACCTTGAAAAACCTTCATCTGCGATGTGGGAACATGAAAACATTATTCCTGAGATAAAGTTTTATATTTTACCACTTTGAGTTGCACGATATAACCGGGCCTTATATCTGGTATTTCTCTCTGTGCCTTTGCTTCCTCTACAGCTTCCTTATCCATAATCTATGGAGTAAACATTAACTCATTAATTAATTAATTAGTTAACAAATAAACCAGGAAGACAAACAGTATACTCATTCACAAATAACAAGAATAGATGGATGCCTGCATTATATGCCGAGCAGTTTTATCAAGCCTCTTATATTTGATACGGGGAGCCACATTAGAGATTGATGGAGGTGAATCGACTAAAGATGATTCTGCAGAATCTCCTGCTGTTGCAATGGATCTGCAGGAGAAAGGAGGCAACATTTTTGCACAATGGACCACACGTGGCTGAAGGCATCTGAATAACGTTGAGGCCGAAGATAAACTATTACTAGTTAATCTTTCAGTTTCGAATCTGGTTTTTGTCTGGTAGGAAATATTACAAACAGCGCATCAAAATGTGTATTTTTCAAATAGCATAATATAAAGACTGGATTCCATCAGGGGAAAAGAACAGAACAACTGTACAATGCATGCTAAAAATGAAATATTAAGGAAACTGTTCAACAACCTAAATAACATAGATTGTTCAAGATCATCTTCATTTCGGTAAGAGATTTTTAAAGAAACTAAAAACAATCTATAGCTTATCCTAGACTACTAAAATTGGTATTCATCTTGTATAACATTATGTGGATAGTGAATGTACACAAAAAAAAAGGTTAGTACAAGAAGAATTTTAAAGCTCTCTATTACCTGTCTACAAAATTGTAGTAGTCTAAACTAACAAAATGGCAGTTTCTCTGAAACAACACGTTCACCATATAATCATATGAAATAGTAAATTTCCCTCTTTTTCTTTCTGATAAGGCATATAGTTTGAGCTCTTAGGCCTTAGGGTGGTAATGGGAATATATTGTGAGATCCTGGAAGGATCATTACCACAGGGACAGATATAATAGTGGAAAAAAATATATAGCATAATATAGCAGACTGAAACAGCCCACATAATAATCAATCTTCTGACCAGAATCTACAAACAAAAGAGAACCTACTTGTTGATATCCAGGATGAATATTTACATCGCTAAGTCCAAAGACTCATCAAATGCAATTAAATTTACATAGAAAACTCTAATTTATAACTCATTGAAAACAAAACATTACTGAAAATAACATAGAGAATAAAGCGAAATCAAAATCTACGACAACCCGCGAAAAGTTCCGGAAATTCTATTTAAATTATGTAGATTAAGGTAAGAAATGAAAACATTAGGCAAGAACATACAAATGCTGCAGGAGATCGATTAGATAACTTGGACAAGAAGAAACCCCTTGAGGACCCAACTGAGTTTCCAACAGATTTTACGGCAGAAAAACTATTTGCAGCTGAAGAGCTAAGGCCAGCATCACTACTGTTGCTTCTGTAGAATAACTCCTGTTCACAGATGGGACAAACACTAAACCTTATTTTTGTCACATAAGTAGTAAACAACTAAATCAATAGAAAATTAGAGCATAACTTGCATAAGAATTTACACAATTATGATTATTTATATATAACTGTAACATTAAAATCAGTTATAAACCACGAATTATATGTCGTTATCAAAAATTTCGTCAAAATTTCAACACCATAGTCAGAAATCTGCTAAGCTGCACAAATTGGAGGAAAATGTACGAGACTGATCAATAACAAAGGGTTTCTGAGAACATTACGACAATTCGAACCCATTGCTATTTCATTTGCAAAATTGGTTTCAAAAGGAACTACTCCAACTTGTCATCCGCCTTCGTTGTTTAAGGTGATTCGAAGGAAACCGCTATGTTTGAAATTGATAGAATAATATTCCGAAAAAAAAAAAAAATTTGAATAAGGAAGCAATGGTTATGGCGGAAAAGGAGGAATCGAAGAAGAAGCAAAAGAAGAAGAATACCTGGCCGGAGCGCTTCAGATGAGCGGCGTAAGTTCTGACGACTTCTCGAGGCTTCAACGCTCTCGCCATTGATTGAATCGTAGGGAGCTTCTTGCTTCTGACACCGTTTAAGAGACTCGTGACTGATGGCTGATTGAACTGCGGTTTAGGGTTTAGTGACCAGTCGATTCTTTTTCCTTTTTTTCCTTTTGCACCTAGGGTCGCCAACCTTTTTGTCTTTAACATTTAGGTCCTCATTTTGAAAATTTAGGCTCCCTTCATTTCGCTATTCGAGTTTTATTATAGTAAAAAATTTTAAAAAATAGTCACATCTAATTTTTTGGTTACAGTAAAAAGCTCTCATACAATATCACATCTCAACTCAAATTAAAAACTTGAATTAGCAAACCGAACGACAAATGAGCTGAGCATCTAAGTCTGATAATTTGGGTTTCAACACAATAATACAACACAAAACCGTATAAAATTAGAGGGTTTGAGTTTTCTTTAAATAGGTCTAGATAAAAAAAGTGGTTGAACCTGCCAAACACGATTAAAAAAGAGTAAACACGACACGAACCCTTCAGCACGAAATTAACCTAAAATAACTCGTTTAATAAATGTGTCATAAATAGGTTGACACGCACACGACACATTTTTAACCCATTTTTATTTAGATATGTATAAATATATTTTTTTAGAAAAAAAATAGGTGATATATAAGGAAGGCCCTAGGGTTTTCTCTTATGGAATTTCTCTTTTAGTTTACTATTTTGCTATATTGTTGAATTTTTTATTTTTTTAATATTTTTTATCATTAAGAATTGAATTTCAATAGAAAGGTAGTAAATGTGTTTGCAAGTTGACACGATACGTTATTGACCTGTTTAATAAACTAGTTGGTTGTGTAATATTCGTGTCAATCTTGTAATAAAAAAGTAGTGTTTAGGTTTCTTATTCTGAGGCGATTATTAAATGAGCCGTGTTCGTGTCAACAAATGGGTATGACATGACATGGACCCAACACGACAACACGAATTACCACACCTATAATCTTAACTCTCATTTTCTCAACACTTATGTCCCCAGTTTTAAATTGTAAACAATCAAGTCTCTATACTTTTATCTTCTTTACACTTGCGTCCCCATTTTTGAAGTCTTGAATAGTTGAACATTAATTAAAGTCCATTTTATTTCACCGATTCGAGTTTAGAATTTGAGTTTTGTTATAGTAAAAAGCTCTCAGAAACAGTCATATTTAACTTTTTTACTACTGTAAAAAGTTTTCATATAAAATTACATCTCAACTCGAATTAAAAACTCAAATCAACGAACTAAACAGTCCCTTAAAGAAGATTTTAATCCCTAACAAGATCTTTTGTATATTAATCTACTTTACTTACCCCTTAAAAACTTTACTTTTAGTTTTGTATTAACTTGTATTTTATATTCAAAATAGATGTGACAATAAAAACAAAAAAAAATTTATACAATAATAAAATTTAAAAGTAACTAAATAAATATATTAATCAATTGGCGTTGACTTGAACGAAATTTGATGTCATTTGATTTTTCTTATTTGTTGGTTTAATTCAATTAAACATTAATGAATAAAGTTTTTCAAGGTAGAAATGGTAATAACGTTTTTTTTAATAATTATAAATGGTAATAAAGTTAACTGATTATAATGGTGTAAAATCAAATTTTGTTTCATAATTTCAAAATGGGGACCTAAGTGTTGAGAATAGTTTGAGAACTTAGCATCAGTTTATTTTACTGATTTAGTTCAGTTCAACTTAGTTTAAACAATGAGTACAGTTTAAATTTGTATTTGATAAGCACGATGTTTGAATTATATTTTCTGTTTGGACTGAATTAAACTGTCAAACTTAGAGTTTAGCTTCCTCCTTAAGTTCAACCGTTGAAATCATTTTTGAACAGTAAAAAAGTACTCACTTTCTCTACTTTTCACACCTACCAAACACAAATTTAAATTTTATTCCTTGTTCAGACTAAAATTTTAACAGCACATCTAAGTGGACGTTTAGTTCATAGATTCAAAAACATGATTCAGAACCATTCTCGTTTTACATGTATTTTTTGTGAGAGAAAAATACTGTAGAAAAACATGACTCATGATTTAGAATCAGGGACAAATACAGGAAACAAACGTTCGTTCACTTCGCTGATTCGAGTTTGTAATTCGAGTTGAGATGTGATTTTATGTGAGAGCCTTTTACTATAGTAAAAAAGTTAGATGTGACTGTTTCTGAAAACTTTTTACTGTAACAAAACTCAAATTCTAAACTCGAATCGGTGAAGTGAACGAGGCCTAAATGTTAATTCAAACTACAGTTTAAATCACACAGTTTGAATTTTTTTTATTTAAATAAAGAAAATTCAAATCAATAAACTTCGAAGTAGTGAATCAAATAGGGACTTAATTGATCAAAATATCAAAACGGAGACTCGAGAGACAAGAAAACATAAGTCTGGAGACTTGTAATTTTTCAAAATAAAGATCCGAGTGCTAAAAGTTAAAAAGTTGGACATCTCAAGTAAAAAAATCTTGATGCGGAACAACAAGATTAGCTTTTGAATACAAATCAATAAACTTCGAAGTAGTGAATCAAATAGGGACTTAATTGATCAAAATATCAAAACGGAGACTCGAGAGACAAGAAAACATAAGTCTGGAGACTTGTAATTTTTCAAAATAAAGATCCGAGTGCTAAAAGTTAAAAAGTTGGACATCTCAAGTAAAAAAATCTTGATGCGGAACAACAAGATTAGCTTTTGAATAATGTCTATAGTTATCTATTGTGATATATTTTAGATTTAGTACTCACTTTTGAATTACGATCATATTTTGCTTGTATGATTATCTCTAAGAAAAAATGTGATCAATACTAAATTTTACCCTCTGATTTTACCTTACCTTTTGAAGTTCCCTTAAAGTCTCTGTAACACAATTAAATTTCATCATTTTCCCAAAAGTTTATTTGAAATATTTACATTCTTCATAAAGCAAAGATAGCCCAAACCTTTTTACCTTATAAACTCTCGAAAGATTGTAGCTTTCTTTAAAATCTCATTTTCGGATTCCAACAAATATCCATATTTCTTCATACCAAAAGTGAGGTTTTTCAACATTTTTAGAACTCGAATTTTAATCTACTCAAGGTACGTTTAAATATTTTATAGCTATTCGTTTGCCCTTAAAAACTTGAAAACAAGTCACTCGAGTAAAGAATTTGGGTCAAGTCTTTGTTCAACAAGGACTGCTCGAGTGAAGACTCAAGTAGAAAAACAACAATTCTTGAGTACAGCTCCACCCCCTTGATTCAAGTTCAAAGTCAGCCGCAATTGTTGACAAAAATTACTTTCCCTTATTTTAATAATAAATTCTAAACAAAAATAAAAATTTGGATCAAGTCTTTGTTCAGCAAGGACTGCTCGAGTGAAGACTCAAGTAGAAAAACAACAATTCTTGAGTACAGCTCCACGCCCTTGATTCAAGTTCAAGGTCAGCCGCAATTGTTGACAAAAATTACTTTCCCTTATTTTAATAATAAATTATAAACAAAAATAATTACCATACTTTGCAAAGAATTACAAAATTACATCCATATTATATGGCTCTTCAATATCATCTGTTATTTCCTTACGGAGAAGATGGTTATAGAACAAATTTGAAATGCAATATAAACAATCCAAATAATAGATCCACATGGAAGAGAATTTCTATGAGAGAATTTTATTCCTATCAACTGCAAGAACGTGAAATGCAAGGCAATACTCTTTTCAGAGGCGGCAGATAATTTCAACAATATGTAGTCGATGCATATATGCCTCTATAGAAGAAGATCGCTTGGACTATATTAGAAAAAATTAAAAAAATTTAAGATATGAAATTTATCAAGGAATCAAGGATACTGTTATTAGAGGAGATACAAATGCACAAGCAATAGGCAAAAGAATTATCCTTCCTTTCAGTCACACAGGAAGTCCCAGAGATATGATTCAAAACTATCAAGATGTAATGGCAATTTGTAGGAACTATGGAAATCTAGATTTATTGATAACATTCACACATAATCTAAAATAGCCTAAAATTATTAGAGCTCTAACAAAAATATCGGGTAAAAACTTGAAGATAGACCATATATTATTACAAGAATTTTCAAAATGAAATTAGATCATGTTTAATCTATTATCAAAAATGAAAATACATTTGGGACAATTGTAGTAGGTTAGTGCCCCTTTTCAACATTTATTTTACTTCAACAATAGGAAACAAAAATGATTTATTATTTTTAATATTAAACTAAAACTAAAACAAACTTTTTTAAACAAAATTTTATAGATTTAAATGTCCTTGAATTCTAGAAATGGGGTTTGCCACATTGTTATTTCTTATTTTGGTTGCATCTCGACGGAAAGCTACGTGAACCATCACAAATAGACAAATTCATCTTTGCAGAAATACTTGATCCTGAAAAAAATACATTAGAATACAATGTTGTAGAGGAATTTATGATGCATGGACTGTGTGACACTGCTACAGCAAATGTTCTATGCATGAAAAATTCAGAATGCTCAAAACAATTAAGAAATGATACAACTATTGAAGAAAATGGATTTGTTAATTACAAAAGAAGAAATACCATTTTTTATGTAGAAAAAGAAGGTATCAAATTAGACAATAGATTTGTAATTCCCTACAATAAAAACTTATGTCTAAAATTTCATGCTCACATGTTAAAAACTTCTTCTTCCTACTTCTCTCTCTCTCTCTTTTTTTTTTTTTTAACTTTTCCTCTTTTTTTTTTTTTTTTCTTTTTTTTTTTTTTTTTTAACTTTTCCTCTTTTTTTTTTTTTTTTTCCTTTTTTTTAGTTTTTCTTCTATTGTTTTACCTATTTTCTTTTTTTTTACCTCGGATATATTCCTTCTTTTTTGTTTTTTTTTTAGTTTTAGTTTTTTGTTTTTACAATATCCTTCATTTAAATGCATTCGTTTTCTTATTGTTTTTTTTTTATGTTTTTACCTCAGATATTGCCTCTAATATTCTTTAACAGTTCATTTGTTTTTACAATATCCTTCTTTTAAATACATTCGTTTTCTTATTGTTTTTTTAATGTTTTTACGTCAAATATTGCGTCTAATATTTGTTAACAGTTCATTTATTTTTACAATATCTTTCTTTTGAATACATTCATTTTCTTATTTTTTTTAATTAAAACAATTCATTTCAAATATGTGTCTGCTTTTGTCAAAAACTCATATATAATTTTTATTAATTTTTATTATTGTTCTTTTCCTCTTTTTTCGTTTGTTCTTACTTTCTTTAATTCTTTCTTCTTCTTTTTTTTGTCCACTAATATTCTTTGATAATTCATTTTTTCCCACTACATTTCTTTAAAATACTTTCTTTTAATATAAATAATTCCTTTCAAATATCTTCCAACTTAATTTTTTTTAATAAAAAATTCTTATATAATTTTAATTTTTTTTATATGATTTTTTAAAAAATATATATTTTTTCTTTTGCTCTAATTAATGGACTTAATTTTTAAAGAGACTACGCATTTTAACGTGACATCGAACTTATAAAGTTATTTTTCACGTGTATAGCACATGACTCAACTAGTGTCAAAAGGAAAGAAAAGCCTTCTTATAATAAAAAATGTCAAAAAGAAAGAAAAATATTTTGACTCTTTTATGTGTGTATAGATAGATATGTATATATATATATGTTTATATTTTTTTAACATACATAATAGAGCAAAAAAGTGTTTCCTTCCTGGCATTATAAGGAGGCTTCTTCTTCTTTTTAACAACAAGCATTTCCTTTTTGTTTTGTTTTGTTTTCTCTTTTTTTTTTTTTTAACGTTTCCTAATTTCTTTTTATCTTTTCTTTTTTTTATTTGTTTTTTATCCAAAGTTCCTGTACAGTTTAATTTGGTTTATAATGTATTTCTTTAAAATACTTTTTTTCTCACTTTGCACTCACTAAAATAATTTATTTTAAATATATTCTTAACTTTTCCTTTTTGTTAAAGGTTGTTTTGTAGTTTAATCCTTTTTGATATGTTTCTTGAAACACTTTTCTTATTATCTACATATTTTTTTCTAGGTGGCACTCTCAACTATTACTTATCTTATAAATAAAAATACTATGATTCATCTTTGTTTAAATATTTTCTCTTACATATGAGCCTACTCAATATTATTTTTTCAAATGTGGCCCTCATAAAATATTTTTTCATATAATTTCTTTAGTGATGTGATAACTTATCTACCTAAATATTTTTTTTGTTTTGTTTATAAACCTCTTAAATATTATATTTTCATATGTATCCCATAAATAATTTACTCTCTAATTTGTTTCACTTATTTTTTTTTAACTAAACTAAACTCTTAAAAGAACATTAAAACAAATTTTAAAGAGATTTTAAATCTTTATATCTTAAAAAAAAAAAATAACATGTTGAAAACACGCGGATTCTACTAGTTTATATCTATTCTAAGTGATAATCCGTTTTTTGAAGGGCGTTTTGTTGCCTTTTAAAAAAAAAAAAAATAGCTTTTTTTTTCTTTTTAATTTTTAAGTTCTAATTTTTCTTTTCTTTTTTTCCCTTATCTTTTCTTATTGCATACTTTAACATCTAATTTTTATATATTTTTAAATGTATCTTATTAAATACTTTTTTTAGAATTATCTAAAATATTATTTTTTTAATTATCCTACTAAATTAATTTATTTTTTAAAATCTACTTAAATAAACATATTTTAACTGTGATCCTTTAAGCTTCAGTTCTGAAACATTTTTTACAAATGTTTTCTTAAGTTTGGTTTTTAATCTTTTTTCTTTGTCTTTTACTTTAAATCTTTTTTTCTCATTTTTCTTTTTATTTCTTTTATTTTATTTCTGTTTTTTAGGCTTAAATGAGCGAGTTACTAGAAAAAATAAAAGAGAAAAACTAACAGATATTTTAATTTAAGTATAAAAAAAAGAAGACGGATTTGTTTTTCAAGAAACAGGCGATGAGGATATAATGCCGCGACAAAACCAAAACGGACGAGCTCAGAGCTAAGCTGTTTCTCGCGCATATTCCATTTCTTTCTTGGTTTGAATTGCCTTTTTCTCAAATGCTTCTCTGAAACAACAAATTCTTCCATTCTTACTTTCTCTTCTAATCCATCCATAAATTCGGAGTTTTTCCAGTTATTTGTTTCTGAATCCATGGCGACGCTCACCGGTTTCCGCTTCACCACAGTGGATTTCAATTTCAGCTTCAAATCCCGAGAAATTCCCAAAATCCAATTATTGGAGCGTAGGAAAGCCAGGAATTCTTGCTTCCTGTGCAGCAAAATCTTCAGGAGAGAGAGAATTCAGCTCTCCTTCAGGAATTTCGGTAGGTTTCGGTGTTTCAGCACTGACAACAATGCCGGTGATGATAAAAATGGTAACACTGCGACTTCAAACGACAACAATGGTGTAAAAAAGACGACGACGACGACGACGGCGACTTCCACGGCACCAACTGAAGAGGAAGAAGAGACGCTGAAAAATGAGTTTGAGTCGGAGAAGACCACGCCTGCTTCGGTTTCTTCAAGGGTATTGTTTTCTTTTCTATTGGTGTATGTTAAGATTTTTGGTAGTAAAATAATGTGTTCATTCTAGAATATTCATTAGTGGGTTAATTTGCGCAATTATGATTTTCCAATTATGCCCCATTGGTTTTGTGCGGTTTAACTGTGATCAAAGTGTCTGTAACAACAAACTGTTTTAGTTCAGCATTTCTCTGTTGGCTTATTGGGCAACAGAAATAAGTTTACTTTTTGTTGCAGCCTACAGGAGAACCACATATTGAAGAGAGTCTTAGGTTACAATGGCTTTACATACTTAACAATAGGATTATTCTCACGGGTGGTCGCTGAACTTAAGGTCATTTCCAATTTAGCACTAGAACCCCTTGAATTTTCAATTAGTTTCACTTAACTTGATTTGATAGAATTCTTGTTAAAAACGGACAGATAAAAGGAGGCAGTGTGATAATGTGGTCTTTCTGTTAAAATAAAATAGAGAAAGACCACGTGACCACACTTATCCTCTCTTTTTCCATCTGGTTATGACAGAAATTCTAACAAAAGGGGTTAAAGTGCCACTAATTTAAAATTTATGAAGTAAAATGAGAGTTTTTAAAGTTTATGGGGCAAACTAGGAATGACTCCAAAGTTTAGCGGCTATTGCTCAGATGAATTCATAATATGTTGGAAGGTGAATTACTAATCTTCTGCACCAGTTAATAGTCAAACTTTTTGCATTTTCTGGTTAAAGTAATACTGAAAAAATCTTTACTTTGTTTATTTGACCTTTTTCCTTTGATTTGGAGCATCTTATTCGTTATAGTTTCTGCTATGGAATGAAAGAAGTGTGATTATAACTACGATACCCTTTCCATTATAACTACGATACCCTTGTAAGGTAACTGATTACTATTTGGCATCCTAGTATCCATACATGTTAGTCCATGGTATAACGATATCATTAATGAGCAATATTACATTGGGAGATAGATGCTAGCTGAATTTGTTTGCACAGTATCTAGTATAAAAAGATGGCAAAGCTGACCCTAACATATCAGAGTATTGACTCCTCAGCCGTCAACTACGCCGTCGTTTGGACCAGCTTACAGCAATTTCCAAGTTGACTCTTTTAAGCTTATGGAACTTCTTGGACCTGAAAAGGTTGATCCTGCCGACGTAAAGTTGATTAAGGACAAGCTTTTTGGGTATTCTACGTTCTGGGTGACCAAAGAAGAGCCTTTTGGAGACCTTGGTGAAGGGGTTCTTTTTCTTGGGAACTTAAGGGGAAAGAGAGAGGATGTGTTTACTAAACTCCAGAGTCAGCTGGTTGAGGTAACTGGTGACAAGTACAACCTTTTTATGGTTGAGGAACCCAATTCAGAAGGACCAGACCCACGTGGTGGTCCACGTGTCAGCTTTGGCTTATTGCGGAAAGAGGTCTCAGAACCAGGGCCAACAACACTTTGGCAATATGTAATTGCTCTTTTGTTATTCCTTCTTACAATAGGTTCCTCTGTGGAACTAGGAATTGCATCTCAGGTATGCCAAACTTTCTTATATTCTGAAATTGACTTTTAGTTATTTGTACTTGAAAATAGGTTTTTTTTCCAATCTTCTAACTATATTATCAATTGTGGTTCTGTTAAACAGATTAATAGACTTCCACCTGAGGTGGTGAAATACTTCACAGATCCAAATGCGATTGAGCCACCAGATATGGAGCTGTTATTCCCTTTTGTTGATTCCGCTTTACCGCTAGCTTATGGTGTCTTGGGGGTTTTGCTATTCCATGTACGTAACTTCATTTTCTAGGTTTTGGCTTAACCCACACATTTCATGTGATTTTTATTTTTTATTTTTTATTTCATTGCTTCTTGCAATATCTTTGCTGCGTTCTCTTGCATCATAATCATTTTTTTTATACCTGTAATATTTTTCTTCTTCGCATGATTAGGAATGGATGAGTTAGATTCTTAAATTGAATCCTCCTTTATGACATTTTGCTTAAAATTTGGCCTTTAAGTTAATTGAATGACAAAAGTTGTTATTTAAACTGACTTACCGTAGTGTCCTCAGATCATCTTATCATATCGACAGGTTGAAATATATTGATATTTACGCAATACATTTTGACCCTGTTAATCTGTTCATTCATCTTTTTTTTTTTTTAGTTCTTTCAAATCTTCCTTTTTACTTTTTACTAATTCCTTTTATGTTTCTCAGCTGAAGATTAACATTATCAGATTTTTCATCTTAATTTGCTCATCATTTAAATAAGTGTTGAACATAAATATTTAAAAAGGCTAGTTGGGGTATTGGGGCATTTTGCGTCAGTGTGTTGATGTGTATTAAGGCGTAAGCTTAAAGTAACCTTAAAAAATTATAAATTATAAATTTTTAAGCCTCGTATCTTTAGTTAACCGAGACGTAGCAGAAAGAAAAAAAGATGTAATTTCGGCAGGCCAGCAGCTAGAAACATAAAAAATAAAAAAGAAGAGTTCACTAGCCAGTGGAAAGAAGCAGAAAAGGAAGAGATTTCATTAGCCAGTACAACAGTAAGAGAAAAGAAAAAGGAACGTAGATGAAGAAGATCACAAACGGAAAAAAAGTTGATAAGCTATATTGAAGTGGCATTTTGAAAGTAGATGAAGAAGATAACAAAACAAAAAAAGTTGATAAGCTATGTTGACCGCAAAACGAACGTAGATTCAGCTGAACTGTGCTCAAACCTCCATGCAAACCTTCTTACATCCAATAGAAATGCATGGATGAAGTGACATTTTTAAACCTCTGAGAGATACTTTGAAACAGAACAGTTCTGAATATCATATTTGCAGTATGAAACCTATTATTTAATTCATTGGATTTAGGGTGACCATATAGAGGGACAAACTGAATTTCTTTCCTGAGGCAAGCTGTGTTGTCAAAAGTAGGTTAATAATATTCAACAGTTTAGGAAATTAATGTTCTCCGATTCAGGGTCACCATGAAGGCAGACATGCTAAAGTGCTATCTTGAGACAATAAATTTTGTTAAAGGGAGATTCAATAATTCAATGGTGTAGTAGACTAATTCTTTTTGATGCTGTTATTGAACAGGTAATATTGACCCACTCAGATATTACGTGCACTATGTAACATTACCAGAAAATAAAAATACAACCATACTTGACACCCAAGTGATTTTTACTTTGTGTTTGTATATGAGGGAAAACTCTCATGGAACATGATAGATTAGGTATAATTGTATATAGAGATGAGGGAGTACCTTTTGATTTTTACACCTTCTCAATGTACAAAGAATCTTCGTTCATAGGCTAAGGGACTGTTCATCCATTTTCATGGAAAACTACCTGAATTTGTGGGAACAGTCCAACGGAGGCGTTCCATGGAAACACTTCATTATCATTAATCCATTATCAAACTAGCATCTCTGTCCTTGATGCTTATCTTACTATTCCTACGTTTACGTTCTTAAGTCTTGACTTAGTCTCTGTTTTTTTTTGGGGTTTATTTCCACTATCAATACAGTGATATAAATCTCTTGCAGGAAGTTGGGCACTTTCTGGCCGCATTTCCCAAAAAAGTGAAACTCAGCATTCCTTATTTCATTCCTAATATCACTCTTGGAAGCTTTGGTGCTATCACACAGGTGCGTAAATGTATCCATACAGGTTGCAACTTTCATAATGGAAGTTTTAAGTTGGACAAAATGATATCTCGGCAAGAATGGACTCTTTTTTTTTTTTTTTTATATATATTATTGAATTAGTGGTCTAACTAGTTTTATGTTTAAAGACAGAAATACATGGTTTTTTTTATTTTTTTTTTATCTCTGCTTATCCTTTTAAAAAGTACTAGTTTGGAAGCACATGCATAGCACGTGCATATTTAGTTTGTTGATGAATGTAATTTCTTTTTTAAAAAGGAATTAGCTACACAAAATTTATTAAATATCTAAGTAGAACAAGTTTTGCCATATAAAAAAGAGAGAGATGGAATATATTCGTTATGATGAATTAGATAGTAAATTATTGCATGTGAGAAAATAATATTTGAAGGGTTGCAGGAAAAGATGTTTAAATAGGAACACTTTTGAAAATTCATTTCAGCAGGGCAATTAGGGAAAAGAAATTATAAGGGTCATATTTAAAAAAGTTTTTATCTTAAAGGACTATAAGAAGAAATATTTTGTAGATAGACATTTGGCAAAAGCTATTTTAATAGTAGAAAAACAAATAATAATAAGGCATATATGAAATGAAATTTTCAATTAAGAGATATGTTTCAAGTTAATATTATGTATGTATTGACAAATAGAACATATTTAAGAGGAAAACAAAAATTTTTGTGGACAAAAAAAAAAAAAAAAAATTAATTAGAAGATAATGTGTGTGTGCGTGTGTGAGTGAGTGAGTGATTGAAAATAATAGTTGAGAGGGCCACAAGAAAAACAATGCTTAAGCATGGATATATTTAAAATATATATATATATATATATATATATATATCTATAGAGTCAAAAATAGAGAGAA